ATGTGCGCATAAATTTTTATATAATTTTTCCAATTTATTTATTATAATTTTTTTGTAGTACATTTTATTATTTATTTAAATTATTTTCTTTTTTCATATCTGATATCTATTTTTATAGTAAGTACACAGATGTTTCATATGCTATTTTGTTGTGGTGTTGTTGTAAAACAAGTGTTTTTTTTTGCTATTTTCTGATTGTATTGTAGAGCGTTTTCAGTATGTGATTATGTTTAAAAAATTACCAAAATAGAATTCAAGAAGTCCGAGATTAGATGTGGTGAAGAAAATTTTATATAACCAATAAGATTTATTATAATTTTTTTGTAGTACATTTTATTACCTATTCCTCCTTCACACTTCTTTCTTTTCATATCTGAATCCCTTGGGGCTTGTTGAGTGTTCAGAAGTTCCAGCCATTATCATCATGGTTGTGCTCAGACTACACACAGTTTTCACCTCCTTTGGAGGGGCTATAGTGGTGGACTTCGCCCGTGACGTAAGAATTCTATCTAATAAGAAATCACTCGCAATATCATTCGGATAGTTCAAACACATATATATATATATATATATATAGCGTGCTGAGGAACTGAAGGGAGCTAAGCTTCTAGTAACAAATTGTCGCGGTGAAGAAAATACATCACCAGTACCAATAAGAGATAATACGGGCTCTCTTTTAACCCGACTTTGGCAGTACTTTACCCTCCTTCGTAATGGATGATGGTATCAGGGCCTCAATACTCAGGAATCGCTAGGAGGGTGCTGAGTGGGTCAGAAATCCCAGCCTTGATTTCATACGTGACGTAGGAATTCTATCTAATAAGAAGTCACACGCAATATCATTCGGTTAGTTCAAGCAGATACAGACAGATAATAAGAAGTCAATCGCAATATTATTGAATGAATGAATTTAAGATTATTCTTAATTAGAATAAATTTCCTTGTCAGTAATCGAGTCTCTGTCACGTCCGATAAAGCGGTTGCAGAAATTAACAGTTCTCTGCTAAATCTTCTTGTCAGATATCTCTTTGTCATTGATGCGTTTGGGATGGGAGAGTCATCAACACCAGTCTCTACTTCAACGGCCAACAGAAGTCTCGAGACTTCGCTGCACGTCATAGGGATTGTGTTGGGAAATTCATCCTCGCCAGGAATTGCATTCTTTCTTATCATCTGAGAAGACTCACACTGATTTGGAGAAATCACAGTGGTGTTCATAGCGTCTTCCTCGTCTGTCAAGTGTGAGTGATCCCAGAGTTTAGCCGGGATACTCGGGAATGAATTTGAGATTCCTCTTAATCAGAATAAAATTCCTTATCGGTAATCAAGTCTCTGTCCCGTCCAATAAAACGGTTGTAGAAATTAAATCTTATTGTCAGAGATCTCTTTGGCGTTGACGCGTTTGGTATATGCTTGTGCTGGCGATTCATCCATCATTTCGATGGGAGAGTCATCAGCACCAGCCGCGTTTGGTAGCTCTTTGTCTTGTGAATCATCTATCGTTTCGATGGAAGAGTCATCAGCACCAGTCTCTACTTGAACGGCGAACTGCCTCAGAGACTTCCTTGGACCGTAGAAATTTAATAAAATTCCTTGTCAGTAATCAAGTCTCTACCCCATCCGATAAACCGGTTAACAGCTCTCTGGTAAATTTTCTTGCCAGAGATCTCTTCGGCGCTGACGCGTTTGGTGGCTCCTTGTGCTGGTGAATCATCCATTGTTTCGATGGGAAAGTCATCAGCATCAGTCTCTAACACAACTGCATCAGAAGTCTCAAGACTTCACTGCACGCCGTGAAGATTGAACAGGGATCTTCATCCTCCTCAGGGATTGCATTATTTCTCATAATCTGAAAAAACTCACCTCGATATGGAGGAGTCACTAGGATACCCATTGCGTTAATCGCCGTAGTGCTAATCATATTGACAGACGAGGGTGAGTCATCCTAGAGTTGAGTACGGATGCTCTCCTGACATAGACGGAACGCAAAGTCCTGCTGACACAAGAAGAAATGAATGATGATTCAAATAGTGGGCAATATATCCAATAATAGAGTGAGAGTTTAACGTTCATTTTTAAAAATAGGGGTGAATATCACTCCGAAAATTCGATGTTATTATACTTCCCCTAAAACCAACCCGTGAAGCAATACCCTGCAGTGCAACTACATTTGGGCGAACGCAACTTGCTTCGGTGTTCTGTGGGTCCCCTGAACTAACACAGGGGAAGTTCTTGCATCGTTAAAGTGCTGTCGTTAAAGTGCTGCTGACACAAGAAGAGATGGATGATCATCGAAATAATGGGCAATATACCCACTGATAGAGTAATAACAGGCGTAGACCTCTATGGTCCTGTGAATATCACTGCGAAAATTCGTGGAAGACCACCTACCAAAGTGTATATAGCCGTCTTCGTTTGTTTCAAAGTGGTTCACTTAGAGATAGTATCTGATGTCTCTTCTGATGCTTTTATTCTTTCTATTAAAAAGTTTTCCGAGAGGCTCTCCAAAGGGATATATTGCGACAACGTGACGAATTTGGAGTGGGGCCCAGCAGAGAGCTGAGGGAACTTCAGGAGAAATTTCTAACAGGTCAAGAAATACGCTGCCTCGTTGAACGTGCAGTTCAGCTTCATTTCTCTGAGGGAATCACATTTCAGAGCTCCGTGAGAAGTTGCTGTAAAACAGGGGAAATTTCTGCTTCTTCAAGCTGTCGATAAGGTGATGCTGACACAGGAAAAATGGTCACAATGCTCGTAGAAGCGTTGATAAACAGTCACTCCATAGTACCGTTGTCTCCAGACCCAAACGACGGAAAAGCCCCGACACCCGGGCATCTAATAATCGTAGAGGGTCTGCGTCATCCAAACCCCAACGACGGAGAAACTCAGACATCCCGGCTACTAATCGGAGAGGGTCTGTGTTCGCTGCGGCCAGCATCCATCAAAGAAGAGACCGGCAACAAGGAGAGGTACTGCAGCGCTGGCAGATGCTATCCGTTCTCAAGCAGATGTTGTGGCGGGCTTGCTTTACAAACTATGCCCTGGGTCTACATAACAAGACCAAATGGCATTGGTCGGAATAAAAAATCCTTGACGATGAGGCCAGACGACGGAACTTATAAGTAAAATTGCAACGTATTTATTTTGAAATCTACTTTGGTAAATTGTTATCGGTTATTGTATGTCTACGGTTTTGTGTTTGTGGACCATTTGTGTTTGTATTACAAGTTTTTTTGTATAAATCCATTATATTGACATTTAAAAGTGATTGTTGTTTTTACTTACTGTTAAATACATAAATATTTTTGTTTGTGCTATTATTATTATTATTCTTTTAGAACACGAGGCCCGCATAAAGGCTTCTAGCTACTCTCTCTGGACTACACATTATCAAGCCAAACATCATTTGGCTTATATTTTATAAATTTTTCTTTCGGCTACTCCTAGTCTAGGAAACCTTTGGATGGTGTTGATTGAGCACAGTGCTGCCAAAAGAGTTTTTTCTTAATTATGTGTGTATTTTTTTAATGTTAATCTTAAATCTGATTGTGATGATATTCAGTTCTAAGCGCCATTTTAGTATTGCTATACATTAGTGTTTTTTGTTTGTCTTTTTAAATAAGTCTTCTAGAAATTTTGAATGTGGTGTATTAATTTGTTTGCTTTCATTTTAATGCTCTCTCGTTCGTTCTCACTCTCCATCTCTCTATTGCAATTCTATTGCCTCCTGTTGCTGCTGCTGTTCCCCTTCATCTTTGGCATCATCTTCAAATTTGATTTTATCATTCTTCTTCTCTTTTACAGAAACGCTCTTTTTAACTTTTTCCTCTCGTTTGGCTTCCATTTTACCATTTGTCTCGGGGGCATCGGTGGTCGAGGCAGCTCTCTTGCCACTGCGTAACTTGAAACGTGTCACCGGTGCAGCTGCCGCATTATTTGCACAATTACATATCGACTCAAAGAGCCGAACCACAAATCCTCGAGCCTTGTTGACAACTTTGCCGTTCTTGAAATCTGGTATTGCGAAAGCTTTGGTTTAGTATTTGAGATAACAATACATATTGAGGTTATGTAGGAAAAAAGCGTGTAAGTTGTTTTTAATTTACAGTTGATGCATAGAAACGAGTAAAATAAGGTGCATTAGAATACATAAAAAGAAAAAAGAGAGAATAAAATATTAATTTTATAATATAAGCATGCTATATATTTATAGGTTCAATTTATTTAATTGATAGAAAAAATTGTGAATTAAAAAACTTCTAATTAATAAAAATCTTCTCAGAGTGGTCTCAAATATTTTCCAATTTGTTGATCGAGATCGATGATACGAAAGATCCAAAAAGGCAGTTCAAAAATTGAGCTTTGCAGGATAGACAGAAATTGACCCCTATTTATCCACGTTTTACTGAGTGTAGTCGGAAATTTACCCTACTTAGAGTATGTAAGAGTTGTTGCACCCTTGCCCCATCATACGAAAATTTCCCTTTTTTGTCATGCTGGTACCAAAGTTTTGGAGAAGAATGCAAGAAAATTGTTCGAAATTATAGTCATTGTTGTAGCTGCAAACCAAAGCTGATGACGCAAATAATGATCAATGTACCCATTCTGTTCAAGTGAGAACTTTACGTCGACTTTCAATAATAGGCGTAGACTTCTGTGCTCCCGTGGATATTACTCAAAATTCGTATAGCCGTTTTGGTTTCTGATTTGTCTTCTGATGCTTTTACTCTTTCTTTTAAAAGGTAGTGCGACCACGCGACGAATTTGGAATGGGAGCCAGCAGAGAGCTGAGGGAACATCAGAAGTAGTTTCTATCAGGACGAGAAACCTCGGAGGAGTACGCTGCTCCGTTGAATTTGCAGTTCAACTTACTTCCTGTAGCAGACCGAGAAACATTGGAATAGTACTTTGCCTCGTTGAACGTGCATTTCAACTTAATTCCTACGAGGGCAGCTAATTTCTGCTGCTGACACAAGAAAAAATAGATGATACCCCAAATAATGGGCAATATACCAACTGATAGAGTGAGAGCTTTAATAATACTATTTTTAATAATATGCGTAGAATTGTTCTGTGATCCCGTGAAAATCACTCTGTAAAAACGCAACCTACGAAAATGTATATACCCGTTTTCGTTTGTTTCACATCTGAAACGGGTCAGTTAGGGTTAATAGCTGAATTGTCTTCTCATGCCTTTATTCTTTCTCTTAAAAGGTTTGCCGCGAGGCGTGGATTCCCCAATAGTATATATTGCAAATATTACTCTTCGCCTTCGTTTGTTTCACGTCCAAAGCCGTTCACTTAGGGATAGTATCTGATTTGTCTTCCCTTAAAAGGCCCTTAACGCCAGGAATTTCGTAGGAGCAAGCATAGAGCTGAGGGAACTTCAGGAGAAGTTACTAGCTCATTGAGCGTGCAGTTCAATTTCATTCCACCGAGGGCATCTCATCTAAACAGTCGCCCCATGCTGTCTCCAGCTCCTCGTGGACGAGGACTAGTTGGAGGTCTGTCCGCCATAGAAAAGGCGAAGTTCCTGCTTCTACAAGCTGTCGGCAAAGTGCTGCGAACGCAAGCAGATATTGTCACAATGTTCGAAGAAGTAAAGAGTAGTAGCACTGCTGTCTCCAGACCTGCGTTCGGTTCCGCCCAAATCAGCCATTTCCTTTTGAAGAGTAAAGCAAATATCGTGCTGAAACTATTTTCAAGTGTAGGATGGAATCAATCGTTCTGTCATATATATATATATATTCCCCCAAATGGGTGATCATTCGAGCATTATGGGTCCCTATCCATTTAAAATTGGGAAATAATGGAAAAAATCTGCAACCAATTTACTCTTTATTTTCGAGTATTGTTTATATCGAAATGAAACATTTAATTTCCTAGCAAGCAAAATGAAACTTATAATGAATTGTTCCATAATAATAATAATAATACCCTCCCATTGTTACATCAATAGTGACAGTGCAGAAATCGATTTGTTTTTCATTAGCAGTGTGTATCGGTTGCGTTTCTCTTGTTTTTTGTTTGAAAACAATAATAATTATTATGGCTATTTAAAGCTTATTTACTTGCGGCTAGATTCCATATATGTGTAGTAGAATTGTTACAGTCAATTCTGGATAAATTAAATTCGTTTATAGGGGAATAACAGACCTCGTCCCCAGATTCACTCCAGTAGATGAGCGAATTGCTATAATCCGTATAAAAGCGAAATTCTTCTACATCAGTCTTATTTGCTTCCATGCTCCGACGGAAAACAAAGATGAGCAGACCACAGACATATTTTACGAACGCCTAGAAACAGAATTCTGCTAGGAGAGTTTAATGCAAAAAAAAATCGGAAGGGAAAATATTTTTGGCCCTACCGTCGGAAAATTCATCCTCCAGCAAAAAACTTGGTAGTTAGCAGCACCAACTTCAAGCATCTCAATATACACAAATCAACCTGAATTTCTCCCGATCAAACAACGAGAAATCAAATTGATCGTGTTGTGATAGACGGAAGGTATTCGTCCAGTGTTTTAGACGTTCGATCGATATGAGGAGCGAATATCGATTCGGACCATTATCTTGTAGCAGCCAAGATTCGCATTCGTCTTAATGTAGCACCAAAGGTGCGTAATGTAATGGAGAATTATTGGGAGAAAAGGAGAGAGAGGAAACGTATTTTCAGAAAAACGTATATAGCAAGAAAAACGTTAGCGTTACAAATCGAGATGTACACGAGTCAGAAAGAAGTTCGGAAATTTTACCAACGAGTAAAACACCAAACCGAAGGCTTTGTTGCAGTCACATCCTCCTGTAGAGATGAAGAAGGAAACTTGGTGATAGATACAGAAAACGTGTTGTAGATCTGGAAGGAGCATTTTGCAAAGCTTCTGGTATCAAATAGTGGCGGTAAAGAAGAAACCCCAAAACCAATAAGAGATGACGGTATAGAGTGTAGACCACCTAACCAAGATGCGATCAGGGTAGAAATTAATCGGCTGAAGAACAATAAAGCAGCAGGTGCCGATGGATTACCAGCCGAACTATTCAAGAGCGGTGGTCAGATGCTGATCAGGAGCATGCACCAGCTGATTTGTACAATTTGGCTGGAGGAATGTATGCCCAATGATTGTAACCTCAGCATCCAGTGTCCCGTGCACAAAAAAGGAGATAAGACGAGATGTACCAACTATAGAGGAATAAGTCTCCTTCCCATCGCATATAAAGTGCTATTCTGCGCTGTGTGAATGACTGAAGGCAAGCGTCAATGACATTATTGGACCATACCAATCTAGCTTCAGACCTGGCAAATTAACCATAGGGAAGATTTTCAAATCCTGGAAAAGACCCACGAAAAACAAAACGACACATTCAACCTATTCGTCGACTATAAAGCCGACGCATTCGACATCCCTATCCGTTCAGAGGTGTTTAAAGCTGTGTCTGCGTTCGACATTCCTGCAATATTAATACGGCTATGCAGGATAATTTTGAATGGTACAAGGTCAGCAATTTAAGTCGGAAAAGACCTATCGAAGCCCTTCAAATCCGCACGAGGATTCAGACAAGGTGACAGTTTGTCGTGTGACTTTTAACATTCTGCTGGAAAAGATCATACGACAGGCAAAAGTGAACAGAAATGACACTATGTACACCAAACAACACATATTACTCGCCTACGCCGATGACATCGACATAATGGGTCGAACATTGCGAGTGGTAACAGCCACCTTTGAACGAATTGAGAAGGAGTCTACCAAAGTGGGTCTGGCAGTAAACGGCGGAAAGACCAAGCTGATGGGATCGAGGTAGTCAACGATTTTATATACATTCGTACGGCCACAAAAAATACTAATGACATAATTTTTGAAATTCGAAGAAGGATAGAGTTGGCCAACAGATCTAGGTGAGCAATTTGAAAACAAGGCATCCTCCTCTCGCCAAACCAAACTCCCACTCTCCAAGACGCTGTTACTACCCGTGCTGTTATACTGATTTGAACTGATTTGGGTACTTACGCAAGCGATGAGGCAGCTTTAGAGTGTTTGAGAGAAAAATTCTCCCAAAGATCTATGGGCCGATCTGCGTTAATGGTGAATATCGCCTTCGAATGAACCATACGTCATATATTCTAGGACATCGGTGTTGTTAGACGTATTGTGAGAATCGGTGAAGATGACCCAGCCCAAAAGGAATATAAAATCGAACCAGCTAATGGTTCACGCAGAAGGGGAAGGCCACGAATAAGATGGAAAGATCAACTGGAAGACAACATTGCCGAATATCACCTTTCAAATTGGAAAAACTGCGCAAAAGACCGACGTGCCTTGAAATCTTTTTAAAGATCGGCTTATGGAACGAAAGTTCTGTCAGAAGCCAGCTATATAAGTATATATAAAATTTAATGCATTTTGGAAATGATCCGCTAACGAACTAGCGGACCTTTGTTAATTTTGAATAAGTTGTTCCATGGTGACCTAATCTGAGGTGTATTTTATACAAAAGCCAGATAGTCTTCTATTGATATTCATGATGCCAAGAAGTGATGAAGAGTATTTTATAAACCAGCCGGAGACCGACTGATTTATGATAGAGGTCCATGAGACCAATAAGAAGTTTATAGAAGAACTGAAGACCATATTTAGGAAGTCATTATAGACGAGCGGTAGTGATGACCTGAAACCGAAGTGTGTTCTATAGACAACCTTAAGGACAGAGAGTCTTCGATAGATGTTAATATGGCCATGGAGTATTTGATGGGGAAAACTGAAGGCCAAATTCAGGGAGTCTTTATAGAAAAAATGTAGCCCAAGAAGATAAAAAGACAAACTAAAAGCCATAGAGCATTCGATAGAGATCCATATGGCAAATGACTGATTTATTTATATAACAAAAAGTGGTTTTAAGGGAAAACCCGAAATAAAGAGCCATCGTGGGCCTTAATATAACGAAAAGTGGTTATAAGTAAAAACTCGAAATATGTCTATTTCGTCGTCGTGGGCCTTTATACAAAGTAAAATGATTTTAAGAAAACCCGAAATAAATAGCCGTCGTAGGCCTTTATACACGAAAAGTAAATATAAGGGAAAACTCGAAATAAGGAGCCGTCGTGGGCCTTGATATAACTAAAAGTTATTTTAAGTGAAACCGGAATAAAGAGCCGTCGTGGGCCTTTATAGAAAGTGTTATGAAAACCGACATAAAGAGCCGTCGTGGGCCTTCATAGAGGCGTTGAAACATAAGACAGCGTCAAGACTTATAGCGGAAGCAAGGACCGGAACCTACTATCGATTGCCAGAATCAGCAAACCCGAGTTCCTGTAAAACCAACAGCCGTGCCGGAGCAATAGCAGCAGACGTTGCAGACTTTAATATTTTAAGTATATGAGATCCGTGTATAAATTTAAGAGTAAATGAAGCGAAGTATTCTGAATTTGAAAGCTAATACTACATCTTTTCACTCTCTATCACTTTATTTTAAATTTTCTGTGACGAACCTTACCCCCGCGAGCATAACCCAGCAACCGGAGGAAACTTGTCGTTACAATACAGCGAAATTCTAACTAGTCGAAACTTCAATAAATGTTTCTAAATTGTGAGGCATTTCTATTACGCATTGCTTTTATACAGGCTATACTGTCACCATCTCCCCAATATATGTGGGGAGAATTGGCCTGCGACAATTCCAAGTAATTAAAACATCTCAACATTTGCAGTTACAAATAACTTAATTACTATATCGGTTCTATTTACGAATTGTTCCCCAATAATTAAAATGACACTAAACATAACAATAATGGTGATGGATGGCATGACAGGTTTTGTTTCGCACCAACCAAAATCTAACAACAAAACTAAAACGGAATCTATAAATATAAGGTATTGGCAATACGGGAAATGTTTTTCCCACAAAACTATCGTGTTGAAAATTTAACGGGATATTTTTTAAAAAACGTTTTCACAACACACAGAAAATAACTATGTTCAATTTATATATCCTAATAGGGAAATTATTTTTACTACATCTAATATGGATACGATTAACAAATGCCGTAAGTTGTGTGGGACGAGAAATAGGGGAATTTTAAAAAAAGTAAATTCCGTAAATTCTTTTTTCAGGTCACCATGGAACAATTTGATCAAAGTCTGGATATGATGCGTAATGGTTGTGCCCCGAAATTTAAAAATTCCCTCGAAACTTTGGATAATATACGTTTCGGTAGGTTCGAACAACTGGATGAGAGTTCTTCGGATGTGAAGGTGTGTAGAAGAGAAAATTTCAAATAATAATAATGAGAATAAATAATAAAAATTTGATTTTAATTCTATTTCCAGTGCTATACAAAGTGTATTGCCCAGCTGGCAGGAACGGTAAGTGTTTTTCATATTTAATTGATAAGGGATTATTACACAGAAGGGTGCGGATCGTGGAGATTTTAAAATCTTAAAAATTAATATAAATATTCCAAACGCAAATAGGAATTGATTTTCCTTTAATTTAGAATTTCATATCCACGGAATAGGAAAATTAATTTTATATCGAAGAAATAGGAATCTATATTTTGTAAAACATCAAGGACTCGAATCATCTTTTGACAAGCGGAAGGATCTAAGGCAGTGTTCTTAAGTTCTTCTCATCCATGTGCAAGATTAAGGTCCATAAACGATCTTCCAGTCCACGAGACAATCTGTAGACGAGCTAAAGGACACCACCCCAAACTTTTGTAAACTAGCTGTCAAGGAAACCATCGGAATAGTCTTTTAAAAAGGGAGTTGTTGATTTTATCAGATCTAGCGACCTAATATTCTATCTTTGGGCAGAAGAAGCTCCTTTCGTGTCAGCGTGTTTGCCATTGTGTCGCACTGTTTCCGCAGAAGCGTTGCAAGTGCTGCTTGCGTGCTTGCAGTTGTATGAGGATGATTGGTTCAGGCCTTCTGATCTTGTGGATCCTTCGGGAGTGTGTTTTTGACAGATAGAGGGCAAGGTGGACGAACAGTGACCAAGAGAGGGTGACGTACGTATTTATTCGTAACGCAACGTTCGTAGTGGACCGGCCAGACTTTCGCTTCGGCTTAACTGCTGGTCTCTTACTGACGGTGCATGGTTCTCTCAATACGTTTCTGCATAAAAGAAGCCTGTCCCAGATGGATTTATGTTGGTGCGGGATGACTGAGGACTGGAAGCATATACTGATGGAATGCTGTTACTATAATGACATTAGAGATTTAGCAAATATGGGTATATCGAATGGAGGGGCGGGGTGGGATTTCAGTATAGCTCTTGAAGACGATCGGACCTTTAGTTGTTTAAGTAGTTTTGCTCGTGAAGCATGCACTCCGATTGGTACAGCACTTCGGTGCTGGTGCACTCGTGGGCGCATTTCCGCCTATGGCACAGCCAATGTGAGGTAAGCCAATAGGCAGGTACTCACATAAAAGATGTTGTATAACATAGACACCAAGGAATCCATTGTAGACTATCGGAAAGGTCTTTTATAAACTGGTTGAAGGCAAGGGGTCCATATACGCCCAAGGATTTTATATATTATAGAAACACTTCGATAGACGAACTAAAGTTTAAGTCTTCATGATTGAAACACAGGGAATATTCTACAAATCTGAGTGGAGCTATAGAACCATATTGAACATTATCTGCGAGAAAAATATCCTCAGGTTAAGGTTAGGTTTGGTACAGCACTTCGGTGCTGGTGCACTCGTGGGCGCATTTCCGCCCGTGGCTCAGTCACTGTGAGGTAAGCCAATAGGCAGGTACTCACATAAAAGATGTTGTATAACATAGACACCAAGGAATCCATAGTAGACTATCGGAAAGGTCTTTTATAAACGGGTTGAAGGCAAGGGATCCATATATGCCCAAGGATTTTATATATTATAGAAACACTTCTATAGACGAACTAAAGTCTAAGTCTTCATAATTGAAATACAGGGAATATTCTACAAATTTGAGTGGAGCTATAGAACCATATTGAAAATTTTCTACGAGAAAAATATCCTTAGGTTAGGGTTAGGTTTGCTGATGTGCAGTCACTAACTGTGACTGTAGCACTCGGAGACCGGCCGGTCCATTGTGATCATCCATGAAAGATATGTAGAGATCTAATAAGGAATTAAGAGGAGGTAGGTAGTAAATAGTTGTAGAAATTTTGAACAGAAAACATATTACATGCTAAGTTTGCACTTTCCCAACCTCGTTAGGTTTCTGATGATGCTGTAGATTAAAGCAAGTTCCATAGTTAAAAATAAGCTTAGACACGGTGGAAAGTGAGCACCCACTAATCTGTGTCGTGGGTGGACAACGACACAGTCGATGTTCAATTGTCTCCGTCTCATCCTCCTCGTCACAGAGTCTGCAGTAATCAGTAAAATCATGGTCCCACTTACTGGTAAAGACCCTGATATTGCAATGCAACCTGTAATGCCTGCTGTCATTACTCCAATTTCAGCTTTGCTCAGGTTCAACAGTGAGTTCTCTTGGTTGACAGAGTCGGCAGATAAATCTTGAAACATTGCAACTAGGTTCGTTGTGCCAAAGTTCATTGGCTCGTTCGCCAAAGAACACTTCAAAATTCCAAAAAAAGGTGACAGATGGATGGGTGATTTGATCGATGGATTCCGATGAATATTTTCCGGCGTTACAAACGAAATTACGAATTTAATAGTTTGTTGGGAGGTGTGGAACAAAATAATCCACAATCCACTAAAATTCTAGTCACTATAATATTTACGAAGTAAAAACTTAAAAAAATAAAAAATTTCTGAGTTTCGGAGTTTCTTCATCTATTATCCTGCTAAATGTTTCCTCTTACTTGTTTTATTTTCCTAACTTCATTTCCTTTTTCTATTTATTTATCTTTTTCTTTACGTTTCCAGTTAACGAAAAAAGGTGAATTCAGCATATCCAAAGCCACAGCCCAAATTCCCATAATTCTACCCAAGGAACTACAGGAAGTTGCAAAGGAGGCACTCAATTCATGCAAGGATGTTCGTAAGTAGTAATAACTAAGCTAGGTAAATTTATATATGGTTGCATGACATGCCAATACTTATATGTAGAGGTAGGGTTGATGGTGGTGGAGTTGGTGTAAAGGAATTTAAAAGGATGTCTAATATAAAAAATAACACAGAGATGGTACATACATATATACAAATGTCAAAAATGTCACAAGATATAAAAAATAAAATATATACGGTTTTCCGATAGGAGATGAAAGTCTTCTATAGAAAACCTGAAGAGGCTGATTTCACTGATTATATACCTTCTATAAACAGAATAACTGTAGAGGATCTACTGTTCTATACAACTTGAATAATAGGAGATCTTGTTTAGGTTTAGCGGTCTTCTTTTATTCTCTGAGGTTCCGAAAAGATAAATTTACAGGCACCTCAGGTGGAATATCCTGCTATGATCTTTAAAATTCCTTAAATCAATCTGGACCCTTCTTAAAAGAAGACTACAATAAGTCATGAGCCTATAATGTCTATAGAATTCCAGAAAAGGGAAAATTATAGAAGGGCAGAATCAGAGAAACCCAATATAGAAATGAGCCTAAGTACCACAAAGCTTTCTGAAGTGTTAAGAATCGGGAGCCTATTGAAACGAATAAATCTATATAAGGACTAGCTGGAGGATCAGCGAATGTTCTGTAGGGTTATTTAGACTTCTACAAATTATAAAAATTCAAGATAGCCTTGTAGGTAGCTAAATGACCGAGGACAACGTTTCAGGAAATCTGAAGAACGGATAAATTTTATTTCAAAATCCAGAATATCTTTATACGGGAGCAGAAAGGATAAGCATTGATATTAGACAATCGGAGGAACAAGTTTATGAGCTTTGGAATGTCTAGAAAAAATCCACGCCTTTTGGGATCTGTTATGCCTTGAAAAAATCCACAATTTATGGGCTCTGCTATGCCCTAAAAAACCTTTTAAAAATGCAGGCCTCATGGGTTCTGCTATGCCTTGAAAAAATCTTTGGAAAATCAACGCCTTATGGGCTCTGCAATGCCTTGAAAAAACATTTTAAAAATTCGTGCCACATGGGCTTTGCAATGCCTTGAAAAAAAAAACTTTAAAAAATCTACGCCTTATGGGCTCTGTAATGCCTTGAAAAAATCTTTTAAAAATCCATGCCTCATGGGCTCTGCTATGCCTTTAAAAAATCCAAGCCTTATGGGCTCACAATGCCTTGAACAAATCGTTGAAAAATCCAAGCCTTATGGGCTCAACAATGCGTTGAAAAATCCACGCCTTTTGGGCTCTGCAATGCATTGAAAAAATCTTTCAAAAATCCACGCCTCATGGGCCTTGAAAATATCGTTGAAAAATCCAAGCCAACAATGCCTTGAAAAATCGTTGAAAAATTCACGACTTTTGGACTCTGCAATACCTTGAAAAAAATCTTTAAAAAATCCACAATTTATGGGCTCTGCTATGCCTTGATAAATTTTCTTCAAAAATGTACGCCTTATGGGTTCTGCTATGTCCTAAAAAACTTTTTAAAAAATCCACGATTTATGAGCTCTGTTGTGCCTTGAAAAAATCTTTAAAAAATTCACGCCTGATGGGCTCTGCTATGCCTTGAAAAAATCCACGCCTTATGGTCTCTGCAATGCCTTGAAAAAATCTTTAAAAAAAATTCACGCCTTTTGGGCTCTGCAATGCCTTGAAAAAATCATTAAAAATCCACGCCTTTTGGGCTCTGCTATGCCTTGAAAAAATCTTTAAAATATCCACGCCTCTTGGGCTCTGCTATACCTTAAAAAATCTTTACAAAGTCCACGCTTTTGGGCTCTGCAATGCCTTGAAAAAAAAAACCTTTAGAAAATCCACGCCTTTTGGGCTCTGCTCTGTCTTAAAAAATGCAATGCAGAGGCATAGAAAATCCAAGCCTTATGGGCTCTGCACTGCCTTGAAAAATCCACTTTGGAGCGCCATTTACTTAAAATCAGATGAAAAGATATATAAGATCTTTGGTACACCATTTACATTAAATCGGATGAAAATATATATGGGAGCTATATCTAAATCTGAACCGATTCCAACGAAACTTGACACACATCATTCTTGACTTAATTCAGTACGCTATGCCAAATTTCGTGCAAATCGAATGATATATAGGGACTTTGGTACACCATTTACAATTAATCGGATGACAATATATATGGGAGCTATATCTAAATCTGAACCGATTTTCATGAAACTTACCACAAATCATTCTAGGCTAAATTCTAGGCTATGCCAAATTTCGTGCAAATCGAAATGTATATAGGCCCTTTGATGCACCATTTACATTAAATCGGAGGAAAATATATATGGGAGCTATATCTAAATCTGATCAGATTTTCATGAAACTTAGCACACATCGTTCTAGACTCTATTCAGTGCGATATACCAAATTTCGTGCAAATCGAAATACATATAGGGACTTTGGTGCAGCAATTACATAAAATCGGATGAAAATATATATGTGAGCTCTATCTAAATCTGAATTGATTTTTACGAAACTTAAGACACGTCATTTTAGATTCAATTCAGTACTCTATGCCAAATTTCGTGTCAATCGAAAGCTATATTCGGACTTTGATGCACCATTTACCTAAAATCGGACGAAAATATATATGGGAGCTATATCGAAATTTGAACCGAATTTTCCCAATATTAATAGGGTTCGTCCTTGGGCCAAATAAATGAGCTGTAACAAATTTCAGCCAATTCGGATCATATACTCCAAATAAAAAACATTGTCTCTAAATAAAAAAAAAACTTTGTAGAAGGATTCAACCTCATCTGGAGATTCTACAAAGCCTCAAGATTCCAGTCCTCAATTCAATCTCTTCTGAATATTCCCCAAATCCCCCACATTCCATTATATACAATATTATTTATAATTTTAATACATACATATTTACATGGACATTTATAACATTTCATACAACGACATACCATCTCTGTTACAAATCTACAAGGGGCTAAACTAAATAAAAATATTTTTATGTGCTTTTTTCATGTTTGTTCTTTTGTTTTTTGCCATTACAGAAAAGGACTACAAGGACCCATGCGATCGAGTTTTTTATACAACCAAATGTGTATATCATTATAGGCCATCCGTATATAAATTTCCATAAAAACAAAATATTGAGTAGCAAAAAAAAAATAAATAAAATACAAAATAAAATAAAACGTTAAAGCTAAAACAAATTCCGAACTTACTCTGCTTTTGTGATTTATTTTTGTTCTGAAAGATGAGAGATACAAAAAAATTATTAATAAATTCTTGGGACTATCATAAGATATAACGCACACTCACACACACACACACATCTAAATTGTATATTTGTGTGTATGTCTGAGTGCGTACATACACATACCTGTTGCGAATTATTTGTGGCATTGGCCTCCTGTTGTCTGTTATTGGCTTCCTCTTCGGCCTTTTCCAAAACCTCATCAATGAATTCACCCAGCACAGCCATTTTACTGGAATCACCTTTGAATTCCATAATACGTGATTTTAATTTCTCGTGCGAATCATCTGCAGCAGCTGGGCCACAATCGCCTCCATCATTATTGTTATTCGTGCTGGACGACTGAGCCGCCTTTGGGCTATTTTTTGTCTCCAAAATGCCACCATCATCGGTGTCGGGTGAGGCAGGTATATCGAAATGGGCTCTCATAGTGTTCGCTTTTTATTCCACAATTATTTTTTTTCTCACTTTTCACTTCGTTTTTTTTTATTCTTCTAAATTCAAAATATTTTTTTTTTTCGTTCGTCTTAAAATAAATTTTAAAATTTTATTTTTAAAACAAATTGTTTTTTTTATTATCCTTTGTGTTGTGGTAGCGAGTAAGGATATTTTCTTTGATATCGTGTATCTATAAACTACTTCTGCACAATAATGGCAGGCACACAGAAAAAGATTGTGTTCGACACGACTCGTCTCGACTCATTGCCTGGCTAACTGGTATCTACTTTCCGTTCTCTCTTTGTTGGTAATGGTTTGCTCCTAAAAATGCGTACACATACACTGCACTCTATGTGTGTGTGTGATTGTGTGTATGTGTTGAGATAATAATAATTTTAACTACCCCTTCAGGCACCACCAACCATCATACCCCGGACCATTGACACTACAGTTGTCAGTCAGTCAGTGTAAGTAATATCTAACGCCAGCAGCACCCTTACCTCCATCATCATCACCACCATCATAATAATAAAAACAATCCACCCGCTTACCACTCTCACTATAAGGGAATGTTGGGTATTTAGCATAAATGGAAATTCCTTTGGTATGGGTGTCGTTGGAGAAGGGTAGCAGTACTATATATGCACGAAATATTTTTTCAAGGGCTGGAAGAGTGGAACCCATAAGACATGGATTTAGCACAGCAGAACCCATAAGGCTTCGATTTTCTAAAGAGTTTTTCAGGACATAGCAGAATTCCATAAGGCGTGGAGTTTTTAAAGATTTTTTCAAGTCACAGCTGAGCCTATATGGTGTGGATTTTTTAAAGATTTTTTCAGGGCTTAGCATAGCCAATAAGGCGTGGATTTTTTAAAGATTTTTTCAAGGCTTAGTAGAGCCCATATGTTGTAGATTTTTAAAAGATTTTTTCAATGCTTAGCAGAGCCCATAAGGCGTGATTTTTTTTTAAATATATTTTTCAAGCCGTGGATTTTTTTTAAAATTATTTTTCAAGGCATGGATTTTTTACAGATTTTTTCAAGGCTTAGAAAAGCCCATTAGACGTGATTTTTTTTTAAATATATTTTTCAAGCCGTGGATTTTTTTTAAAATTATTTTTCAAGGCATGGATTTTTTACCGATTTTTTAAGGCTTAGCAAAGCCCATAAGGTGTGAATTTTTTTAAACAAATATATTTTTTCAAGGCGTGGATTCTTTAAAAATATTTTTCAAGGGTTGGATTTAAAAAAAATATTTTCAAGGCTTGGATTTAAAAAAAATATTTTTCAAGGCTTGGATTTTTACAGATTTTTTCAAGGCTTTCCAAAGCCCAAAAGGCGTGATTTTTTTAACAAATATATTTTTTCAAGGCGTGGATTTTTTGAAAATATTTTTCAAGGCTGGATTAAAAAAAATCAAGGCGTGGATTTAATAAAAAATCAAGGCGTGGATTTAAAAAAAAATAAAGCGTGGATTTAATAAAAAATCAAGGCGTGGATTTAAAAAAATAAGGCGTGGATTAAAAAAAATCAAGGCGTGGATTTAAAAAAAAATAAGGCGTGGATTTAAAAAAAATATTTTTTCAAGGCGTGGATTTAAAAAAAAATATTTTTTCAAGGCGAGGATTTTTAAAAAAATATATTTTTTCAAGGCGTGGATTTTAAAAAAAAATATATTTTTTATGGCTTGGGTTTAAAAAAAAATATTTTTTATGGCGTGGTTTTAAAAAAAATATTTTTTCAAGGCGTGGATTTTTTAAAAAAAATATTTTTTATGGCTTGGGTTTAAAAAAAAAATATTTTTTATGGCGTGGTTTTAAAAAAAAATGTTTTTTCAAGGCGTGGATTTAAAAAAAAAAAATATTTTTTCAAGGCGTGGATTTAAAAAAAAAATATTTTTTCAAGGCGTGGATTTAAAAAAAAATATTTTGAAGGCGTGAATTTTTTAAAAACCACAGCCGAAGGCGTGAATTTTTTAAAAAATATTTTCAATTTTTTTAAAAAATATCTTTTCAAGTCGTGGATTTTAAAAAAATATTTTTTTATGGATTTGATTTAAAAAAAAAAATATTTTTTTATGGATTGGATTTAAAAAAAATATTTTTTCAAGCCGTGAATTTTTTAAAAAATATTTTTTCAAGGCGTGGATTTTTTAAAAAAATTTTTTTTCACAGCCTTGGATTTAAAAAAAATATATTTTTTCACATCCTTGGATTTAAAAAAATATATTTTTACAAGGCTTTTGGATGCATTTTTGGATTTTTTAAAAAAATATTTTTTCAAGGCGTGGATTTTTTTCAACGAATGTTTTTTTTTTAAATAATTTTTTTTTCAAGGTGTGGCTATTATAAAAAAGCGTGGATTTGAAAAAAATATTTTTTCAAGACGTCGATTGTTTAAAAAATATTTGTTCAAGGCGTGGAGAAAATATTTTTTTAAAAATCCACGTCTATTGTAGTTCCATCTCTGTTGAAAATATTTCTTTAAGGATCCACGCCTATTGTACTTCCATCTCTGTTGAAAATATTTCTTTAAAGATCCACGCCTATTGTAGTTCCATCTCTGTTAAAAATATTTCTTTAAAAATCCGCGCCTATTGTACTTCCATCTCTGGAGAAAATATTCATTAAAAAACAACTCTTTCAGACCTTGATCGAATATTCATTTAAAAATTCAAGCTTAGAACTAAAAATCCATGCTTAGAGCTCTTCCTTTGAAAATCCACGCCTAAAGCTTTTCCAATCTTAAAAAAAGATTGTTTTTAATCCACGCCTTAGACCTCGGACATTGGTTGAGAAAAAATTCCTTTGAAAATCCACTCCTTAGACCCAGGACTTTACTTAAATAGAGCTCGGGCATTGGTTGAGAAAAAATTCCTTTGAAAATCCACTCCTTAGACCCAAGACATTACTTAAATAGAGCTCGGGCATTGGTTGAGAAAATATTCCTTTGAAAATCCACTCCTTAGACCCAGGACTTTACTTAAATAGAGCTCGGGCATTGGTTGAGAAAAAATTCCTTTGAAAATCCACGCCTAGAGTTGTCCCCATCCTTGAGAAAAAATTCCTTTGAAAATCCAAGCCTAGAGTTGTCCCCATCCTTGAGAAAAAATTCCTTTGAAAATCCACGCCTAGAGTTGCCCCCATCCTTGAGAAAAAATTCCTTTGAAAATCCACGCCTAGAGTTGTCCCCATCCTTGAGAAAAAATTCCTTTGAAAATCCACGCCTAGAGTTGCCCCCATCCTTGAGAAAAAATTCCTTTGAAAATCCACGCCTAGAGTTGTCCCCATCCTTGAGAAAAAAATCCTTTGAAAATCCACGCCTAGAGTTGCCCCCATCCTTGAGAAAAAATTCCTTTGAAAATCCACGCCTAGAGTAGGTCCAATCCTTGAGAAAAAATGTCTTTAAACATCACACGCCTATTGTAGTTCCATCTCTGGAGAAAATGACCAAACTCTGGAGAAAATATGTATTTAAAACTCCAGGTTAATAATTAATACATCTATGGAAAAAAAATCCTTTTAAAATCCACATCTAGAGCTCTTCCAATCCTTGAGAAAAACTCTGTTATTTCTTGCCCTAGAAAAATATAAAATAAAATTGATTAGAATATATTCATAGAATCAACCTACTTTTATCACCTATCCCCATTGGCTAACCATCCCCATCACAAGTGTGTTATTAAATGAAGTTTTTTGTATTAGGTTAAGGTAGTTGTTGTGTGGTATGGTGTACAAAAATCGATATTTACTCACTTACAGCACATGCGTTGTTGTTGCGTTTGAATGTGAACAAAAAAACCCAAACCGAAACAGAACTTCCGAGACAACAAAGAGAAATATTAGCAGCAGCTCCAGACACTTGTGATGATTATTAAACAAAGAGTGTCAATGAAATTAAATAGGCATTGTTTTCAAATGTTTGATTTCCAATTTGTTATTTATTCACTTCATAAGTTCATGGTAATAATCTTCTTAATTATCTAAAATCCCGTTAAATTGGACAAGAGTACCCTGTCCAAAAAATTTATTTATTTCACTCCAAATGTGATAGATCATCTAATTCCGGTGGTGCACGAATTTCTTCCGTTTCAATTATAATATTATTTGAATCAACAGATGTCTGAAAAGAAAACACAAAAAACGGAAATCATAAATTAGTAATCCGCTCATGGATAAGTGAGATTCAAGTCACGGGTCTCATCATCATCATCAGCATGAGTGTAAGGCATACAAACAAAACAGAAAAATAAACAAAAATGAAACGGAAAAACACTGAGCAGGATATGAATGGAGGATGAATACGACGACCGAACCACTTACCCTTTCACTTCTATTTAATAGACTATTGCTACTGCCAATAACAACCGTATTGCCAACGGTGCTAAAGATACCACCACTACTACTGGCCGAACTTGTTGTTGGAGCCATTGAACCACCAAGACCTGCACTGCCATTTCCACCCATCATGGCTGAGCTACCAATTGTTATGGTGCCAGTGTTGCTGTTGGCACCATTTGACGATGAATTACTTGATAATTGTGAGGACGATTGTTGTTGAATTTGTTGGTGTTGTTGTTGTTGCTGCTGGGGTTGGCTGGACTGGGCCTGTACAATAACAAATTTTTGTGGCTGTGGGGTTTGTGGTTGCTGCTGTATTTGTGTCGGTTGTATTCCTCGCAATTGTGGCAGGGTGGTGATGACAGGACTTCTGTAAATAATGAGAAAAACAAATATCAGGCATTAAACTATTCAGAAGTGTTATTGTTGTTGTTTATGTAGTTGTGAGAAGCATTGAGGTCAAGTGTAATGATTTGTTAGGGAACTTATCTTTTGATCTTTTTTGTCAGCCAACCATATGTTAGCATATAGACCCCACTTATCATATTATTTACACTTGGTAAACAACAATGAGGATAATGGATACTTGATTTGGATAAAAAAACTGAAGGACACACAATGGGCGGCATGGAAACATTTTAATTTAAAAATCTGGACAAATGAATTTAAAAATGTTAAAATCCACGCCTAGAGTTGCCCCCATCCTTGAGAAAATATTTCGTTAAAAATCCACGCCTAGAGTTGTCCCCATACTTGAGAAAATATTTCGTTAAAAATCCACGGCTAGAGTTGTCCCCATCCTTGAGAAAATATTTCGTTAAAAATCCACGCCTAGAGTTGTCCCCATACTTGAGAAAATATTTCGTTAAAAATCCACGGCTAGAGTTGTCCCCATCCTTGAGAAAATATTTCGTTAAAAATCCACGCCTAGAGTTGTCCCCATCCTTGAGAAAATATTTCGTTAAAAATCCACGCCTAGAGTTGTCCCGATCCTTGAGAAAATATTTCGTTAAAAATCCACGCCTAGAGTTGTCCCCATCCTTGAGAAAATATTTCGTTAAAAATCCACGCCTAGAGTTGCCCCATCCTTGAGAAAATATTTCGTTAAAAATCCACGCCTAGAGTTGTCCCCATCCTTGAGAAAATTTTTTGTTAAAAATGCACGCCTAGAGTTGTCCCCATCCTTGAGAAAATATTTCGTTAAAAATCTACGCCTAGAGTTGTCCCCATCCTTGAGAAAATATTTCGTTAAAAATCCACGCCTAGAGTTGTCCCCATCCTTGAGAAAATATTTTGTTAAAAATCCACGCCTAGAGTTGTGCCCATCCTCGAGAAAATATTTGTTTAAAAATCCACGCCTAAAACTCTTTCAATCCTCAAGCAAATATTTGTTTAAAAATCCAAGCCTAAAACTCTTTCAATCCTCAAGAACATATTTCTTTAAAAATCCACGCCTAAAGCTCCTCCAATCCTCCAGATAATATTCATTTAAAAATCCACGCCTAAAGCTCCTCAAATCCTCGAGAAAATACTCATTTAAAAATCCATACCTAAAGCCCCTCCGAACCTCGAGAAAATATTCATTTAAAAATCCACGCCTAAAGCTCCTCCAATCCTCGAGAAAATACTCATTTAAAAATCCATACCTAAAGCCCCTCCGAACCTCGAGAAAATATTCATTTAAAAATCCACGCCTAAAGCTCCTCCAATCCTCGAGAAAATACTCATTTAAAAATCCATACCTAAAGCTCCTCCAATCCTCGAGAAAATATTCATTTAAAAATCCACGCCTAAAGCTCCTCCAATCCTCGAGAAAATACTCATTTAAAAATCCATACCTAAAGCTCCTCAAATCCTCGAGAAAATATTCATTTAAAAATCCACGCCTTCATTTAAAAATCCTCGAGAAAATACTTATTTAAAAATCCATACCTAAAGCTCCTCCAATCCTCGAGAAAATATTAATTTAAAAATCCACGCCTAAAGCTCCTCCAATCCTCGAGAAAATACTCATTTAAAAATCCATACCTAAAGCTCCTCCAATCCTCGAGAAAATATTCATTTAAAAATCCACGCCTAAAGCTCCTCCAATCCTCGAGAAAATACTCATTTAAAAATCCATACCTAAAGTTCATCCAATCCTCGAGAAAATATTCATTTAAAAATCCACGCCTAAAGCTCCTCCAATCCTCGAGAAAATACTCATTTAAAAATCCATACCTAAAGCTCCTCCAATCCTCGAGAAAATATTCATTTAAATTTTCATTTAAAAATCCACGCCTATTGTAGTTCCAGCCCTGGAGAAAATTTTCATTTAAAAATTCACGCCTATTGTAGTTCCAGCCCTGGAGAAAATTTTCATTTAAAAATCCACCCCTATTGTAGTTCCAGCCCTGGAGAATTTTTTCATTTAAAAATTCACGCCTATTGTAGTTCCAGCCCTGGAGAAAATTTTCATTTAAAAATTCACGCCTATTGTAGTTCCAGCCCTGGAGAAAATTTTCATTTAAAAATCCACCCCTATTGTAGTTCCAGCCCTGGAGAATTTTTTCATTTAAAAATCTACGCCTATTGTAGTTCCAGCCCTGGAGAAAATTTTCATTTAAAAATCTACGCCTATTGTAGTTCCAGCCCTGGAGAAAATTTTCATTTAAAAATCTACGCCAATTGTAGTTCCATCCCTGGAGAAAATTTTCATTTAAAAATCTACGCCTATTGTAGTTCCATCCCTGGAGAAAATTTTCATTTAAAAATCTACGCCTATTGTAGTTCCATCCCTGGAGAAAATTTTCATTTAAAAATCCACGCCTATTGTAGTTCCAGCCCTGGAGAAAATAATCATTTAAAAATCTACGACTATTGTAGTTCCAGCCCTGGAGAAAATTTTCATTTAAAAATCCACCCCTATTGTAGTTCCAGCCCTGGAGAATTTTTTCATTTAAAAATTCACGCCTATTGTAGTTCCAGCCCTGGAGAAAATTTTCATTTAAAAATCCACGCCTATTGTAGTTCCAGCCCTGGAGAATTTTTTCATTTAAAAATTCACGCCTATTGTAGTTCCAGCCCTGGAGAAAATTTTCATTTAAAAATCCACGCCTATTGTAGTTCCAGCCCTGGAGAAAATTTTCATTTAAAAATCTACGCCTATTGTAGTTCCATCCCTGGAGAAAATTTTCATTTAAAAATCTACGCCTATTGTAGTTCCATCCCTGGAGAAAATTTTCATTTAAAAATCTACGCCTGTTGTAGTTCCATCCCTGGAGAAAATTTTCATTTAAAAATCTACGCCTATTGTAGTTCCATCCCTGGAGAAAATTTTCATTTAAAAATCTACGCCTATTGTAGTTCCATCCCTGGAGAAAATTTTAATTTAAAAATCTACGCCTATTGTAGTTCCATCCCTGGAGAAAATTTTCATTTAAAAATCTACGCCTATTGTAGTTCCATCCCTGGAGAAAATTTTAATTTAAAAATCTACGCCTATTGTAGTTCCATCCCTGGAGAAAATTTTAATTTAAAAATCTACGCCTATTGTAGTTCCATCCCTGGAGAAAATTTTCATTTAAAAATCTACGCCTATTGTAGTTCCATCCCTGGAGAAAATTTTCATTTAAAAATCTACGCCTATTGTAGTTCCATCCCTGGAGAAAATTTTCATTTAAAAATCTACGCCTATTGTAGTTCCATCCCTGGAGAAAATTTTCATTTAAAAATCTACGCCAATTGTAGTTCCATCCCTGGAGAAAATTTTCATTTAAAAATCTACGCCTATTGTAGTTCCATCCCTGGAGAAAATTTTCATTTAAAAATCTACGCCTATTGTAGTTCCATCCCTGGAGAAAATTTTCATTTAAAAATCCACGCCTATTGTAGTTCCATCCCTGGAGAAAATTTTCATTTAAAAATCTACGCCAATTGTAGTTCCATCCCTGGAGAAAATTTTCATTTAAAAATCTACGCCTATTGTAGTTCCATCCCTGGAGAAAATTTTCATTTAAAAATCTACGCCTATTGTAGTTCCATCCCTGGAGAAAATTTTCATTTAAAAATCCACGCCTATTGTAGTTCCAGCCCTGGAGAAAATAATCATTTAAAAATCTACGACTATTGTAGTTCCAGCCCTGGAGAAAATTTTCATTTAAAAATCCACGCCTATTGTAGTTCCAGCCCTGGAGAAAATTTTCATTTAAAAATCCACGCCTATTGTAGTTCCAGCCTTGGAGAAAATTTTCATTTAAAAATCTACGCCTATTGTAGTTCCAGCCCTGGAGAAAATTTTCATTTAAAAATCCACGCCTATTGTAGTTCCAGCCCTGAAGAATTTTTTCATTTAAAAATTCACGCCTATTGTAGTTCCAGCCCTGGAGAAAATTTTCATTTAAAAATCCACGCCTATTGTAGTTCCAGCCCTGAAGAATTTTTTCATTTAAAAATTCACGCCTATTGTAGTTCCAGCCCTGGAGAAAATTTTCATTTAAAAATTCACGCCTATTGTAGTTCCAGCCCTGGAGAAAATTTTCATTTAAAAATCCACGCCTGTTTTAGTTACAGCACTGGAGAAAATTTTACTTTAAAAATCCACGAAATACAAAATTTACTTACGGTTGCCTTTGTGGTGTAATTTGTGTCACCTGAGGTCTACCAATTGTGGTGGCGGTTTGGGCCGCCGACGTAATTGTTCCACTAGATATTGCACTGGAACCGGTAATGGTTACCGTGGAAGATGGTGTATTACGAGCCTTAACCACTGCCTGACACAATGAGGGCCCTAGGAAACCAAAATCATTTCTAAAAGAAATAAAACCGAATAAATTAAAAAAATCAGAAGTGCAAATACCCTCCTTTACTTACTTATATTCCTCAGCATAATCCGGCGGTGAACGTATCTGCTTTAGAATAGGTGGACAAACCTTCTGCAACATTGCCCGTATATGACCAGCTGCTGTTTTATCTGTGTTACTTTGCGATGAACCCAGCAAATGATTCTCAATACGTTCCGATATGAATTTCAGACGTGGTATAATAAAGACCTTAATAACTTCAGCACCCAATTCGGAGAGGCCAGCAATAGAGCCATATAACGATGACAAATGGGTCTTATCATTCTGCAATGCCTTGCTGAAGATACGGGTAACACGTGTCTGCAAATTATTCGTGGATGTGTTAAAGGTTTTACATATCTGGGCCATCAGACGAGAGGCAAAATCACGTAATGCCCAATGGTTGTCCAACTCGGGACGCATACACAATTGTTTCGAAACGATGCAGGTGGTAACCGAGGGTATCAATTCGTGTAACTGTGAAGAAAAAAAATCTCGATTAGTTTCTTTTTTAAATATGGAATCAAATTTCCCCAACTTACATATTTCTCCAAATACAGGGAGGGATTATCCAACATGGCCTTTACCATACGCATCAAATAAATCAACAGGGCCAAGTTGTTCTGCACCACATTGACCTTAACACCCTCGGCTATAAAAGTACACATACGCGGTAACATTTCATGAAGACCAGGATCGGATGACAATGACTGAAGAGCTTCACCACGTCTTGGCTCATCGGATCCCACACATGCTTCTGTAATCTCCTTATAATACAACTGTTGCTCGACCGACAGCTCATGAGTGGCCAATTGTTTGACATGGACCGTTTCGACATTTTTCAGTTTATGAATTTTACCCGTTGCCGGTTTACCCGCTGTGTCTTTGGTAACACCCTGTTCCAACTTTACCACCGGATTCACCGAATCCAATGCTTGATGATCTTTCGAAAGGGGTGGAGGATTCTCGGGTATTGTCGGTTGGATACCATCCACAGCCAACCAATGTGTGCGCAGTGTTATATCCAGTGGGATTTTTGCCACATTACCTTGGACAATTTCCGTCAAATCCATTTCTTTTTCTTCGATGAAATGTAACTCCCTACCGCCGCCCGAGGCAAATCGGAATGGTATAAAGTCGTTTGAGGTGAAACCATATTGTGGTTCAATATTGCGAACCTTCAAAGCATGATCGATGTCACTCATAATCAGCTTTTCCCGCTTGGAATGATGCATAAATTTTGCGGCATCCTGAACAATGCGTTTGATCTTTATGGAGACATCTTCGGCCAATTCCTTAGCGGCATCATCGGGCAGTGAGCCAACACCAATACTTTCGGCAATTACTTTCATCGACTCGGCCGACAAAGTTGTGCCATACATCATATCCCCAACGGTGGTTGCGGCCGCAGAGGAACTCATTTTTTGTCCAAATTTACTCCAAAGAAGCGTCTCTAGTCCACACTTTCAAGGGTTGAATAGTTTGAAAACAAGAGTTTTTAGGGTACAACAGATCGTTTTACAACCAAAATGAATCAAAACAATCAACAGCTAGTTCAAATGATTGTTTCAATCAAATGAATGAACTGGAACTAGTGCTAGTTGCTTTGTTAAAACTCGTTCAGTGGTAACCAAGACAAATATATGAGTTTTTTTATAAAAAAAAATAGTTTTTTTATAAAAAAGCAATTGCTTAGTTATTTTTTATTAAAACAAATATAAACATTGCCTTATCCAATGAAACCAAGTGTTAAAAGATCGAAAATAGTTGATTTGATAAGATGGCGTATGTTCAGTGCAAACAATTGTTTGCATCTGGCGACAAAGATAATTTATTGTTAAATTTTGTTAATTTAATAATTTTTTTAAATAAGTGCAATGATAAACGTATATGGCAAAACAAAAGTAAAAAATAAGCCACTTGTTTAAAAATAAAACCAAAAAATGCTTTTGACAAATCATCAAAGAGTACGTTCAGTGTACGTTAATAGAGCCGTTTTATTTGAAGGCGTATACATACTATCAAATTGGATTGTCTAAAGGTACATTTACATATACGATTTTAAATCGACTCGATTAACGAAATCCAGAAATACAACCTAATTGTTTACACATACCCTTAATCATGTTCTAAATGCCGATCAGCTGATGTTTGTTAGTATACATACAAAATTATTAATTTGCGCCAAAAATATTTGTTTGCAATTTGAAAAAGAATAGAAGAATTACCACAATGGAAATGTTTTTGCAATACTGTGATCGTTTGGAAAGTAAAAAAAAAAACACCTAAAAACACAAAAATTCTATAATTAATTTTTATTTTCCTTTGATCTGTCATTTTTGTATTTGTCAGCCGTTAAATTGAAAAACAAACGGCATGTTTTTACATGCAAATTTTGGTACATTGTGAGAGAGTTGTATTTTTTCGTACAAAACCCGCGTTGCATCTCAGTAGTATCATGATTTCGATCATGATTTAAAATAAATCCTGCTGCACGATGATTTAAATTTGTGTGGTAAATCATGGTAAATTTAGCCTGATTAAGAAAATAAACCCTGATTCAGTCTTTAATCATGATTAAATGTTATATGTAAATTCGCTTTAAGTGATTGCTCGCAGGGTGCGCAAAAATTCGCTCGCGAATGAATTAAAATACATTATTTTCGTTTTGTGCTCATTTTAAGAACGAATTAATGGCGATAAATTCTTTACCAAACGAACATTCGCCAAAGAATGTTCGCACACACAGAACAAACGAGTGAGATCGTTCGTTTCGTTTTTTGGTTGAAATTCTTTCTGACATTCTCTCACGAATGAAAACAAACATTCCCGAATTCTCGCGAATGCTCAAAACAGCAAAAACAATAACAACAAACGTTCGTGAACTCAATACTTGTTGGACATTTGTTTGTTATTCCACCGAAATTTTATCGTTCGTGGTCACCCAGGGAGACCAGCTGGATATCAGCAGTCACTCAAGTTTGCTGTCAAAATTCATTATTATGAGTTGACTTCCATTATGAAAACGTAAACAAAGTTCAAATTTTTGACATTAGACTGGAGAAAAAACAGCTGTTTTCCGATTTCAATTGCTACCTGGGTGACCTTATTAATAGATCTTGGTATTTATAAGCGTGGTTTTATATTTGTCGGGATCGGGATCGGTGTTGAGAGTTTCTCTCTCTCTCTCAGTGGTAAATTGTGAATTGTGTTGGAAAACATTACCACAGGTAGAAACAAAAAAGCAAAGACATAAAAGTATAAAGATAGGACAACTGAATTGCCAAGTTGGCCGTTAGATGGCTTTTGCTCTGTTGTTACGATATCGTAACAACATTTTCTGTTAATTACGAAGAGAACAAAATTTTTTACTCTCTGAAATGCAATGGAATAATGACAGAAAAAACCTAGAGAGTTTAAAAACAATTTATATGGCTGGCAACATTTGGGAAATATATATGATGTGTTCCACAATGTACAAGGCGAATTTTTGTCGTTGCTACAGAAATGTATAAATATACAATAAAAACAGATCATGTACATATAATATATAATTATTATTATATATTTATAATTATTATTATTATTTTGGGTTTTTAGTAATTTGAAGACTTTCACCTACGCCATAGAATCGTTTTAAACGACACCCCCGATGCAATGAAAACAATGTAAATAGTGAAAGACCGCGAAAAAGCATTTAAATTTGTAAACGTAAGAAGGGAATATATATTCACTACTTATTTCAATGAACTTAATAAAAATCCGGATACTGGAAAATTTAGTGCACTATATAATAAGACTATATATGTTGTAACACGGATCTCAAATGGTTCAAATATACGCATATTGCATTATACTATGTTCTGACGTTGTTTCTCTCTAATTATACCCTTCACCACACTGTGGTGCTGGGTATTTTGACTTTGTGTATATGTTTGTGACATGCGAAAGGAAAGGAGATAGACACATGGTTACTTTGGAGAATATGCATAGAATCACTTTCTGAGTCGATTTATGCATGTCCGTCCGTCTGTAGATGTTAAATTGTAAGCAAAGTACAGGACGCATTTATGATCCGATTTGGATGAAATTTGGCACAGCTCACTTATTTGGCCCATTGACGAACCCTATTGAAATTGAAGAAAATCGGTTCAGATTTATGGTGTACCAAAGTCCCTATATAACTTTCGATTTGCACGAAATTTGGCACAGGGTACTGAATTAGGTCCAGAATGATATGTGCTAAGTTTCGATTCAGATTTAGGTATAGCTCTCATATATAGTTTTGTCAGATTTTATGTAAAATGTGCACCAAAGTCCCCCATTCTCGGTGTCAAAATTTGTTATATTAATTCGAATCTACTCTTGAAGATATAGCTGATTTATTTTGTCAGCATCAAGTGACAGCAAGAGTGATTCTCAAAATTTTTATGCATTTTTCTCGAAGCAGTGTTTCGCTAATGGCGGGCACGATAACTCATAAACTAATAATCCAATCGATTTGTTAGTACCCAATTAATAATAATAAAACATTCTTTATACTTTTTTGCTGTTGTATAATTATTTATTTATTGCCATAAATGAGTTTTTTTTTTCAATCACTTAATAATTTTGTGCGTTTTTATATTTTGGAAGATTTTTTTTTTGAGGAGGAAATAAAAAACTTTCAAGTGACGGAGGATGGATATTTTAGGCATAACTATAAAGGATATAAAAGATAGCAGTATAGTCGGACGGGGCCGACCATATGATATCCTGCACAACTTCTACGAAAATTTGACTTCCTGTAGTTCTATATTCTGAGCTTGAGCCATATTTCGCAATCTTTGCACCCTCTTTACCGACTATAGATCAACAAATTATACAAATATTCAGTACAGCCCTTCGAATTGCTTGTCCAGATTCCCTTCACCATGGGTTGTGCTTATAATTCGCCTTATAATTGTGCCTATAAATCGACTCAAAAAAAAAAAACAAAAAATAAATTTTCGGCCCACTTCAGCCCAAAATTATTATCTGATCATCACCGAAAATTATGGGCGTTGTCCTTGACTATAACTGCAACCTCATGGAACATTTCAAAGCGATCACCGCTATATTTCCGCCCTCCAGTGTGGTAATGGTTTACTAAATTATATATTTGAATAACCTAAACACCTGTTAATACTTAAGTGTAACTCCCGCAGCCGAGTACATACGACAATATTGGTATTGGTATCAATTTAAAGGTCAACCACTCTATTTTCTTTCTTTGCCACGATCCCATTCTCCGTGTAAAAATTCGTAATGTTGGGGTTAGAATTGCAGCCACTGGAGCGACCAGAAAACCGACAAAAATAAAGTATTTGGTCCATTTCATCCCCTTAATATCAACTGATCTTTACCAAAAACCTATATGCAAAATTTTGTGAAGATTGGTCCATAACTGTGGCCTGTATCGTGTTTACGGCCACACATGTCTAGGTCGACTCAGCTAGTCGAGATATGACGACTATATGGGGCTGCACAAAGCTATAATACCCTGAAATCCGATCATTGCTTTGTATGAAATAAAATAAAAGCATTGTTGTTTTTGTATTCATGGGTCATTATTTGAATCCGCATCATAATCTTCAGGCATCCACATCAACAGGAATTAAACATATTGCAAACAAATTAAAAATTTATAAAATTTGGAAAAGTTTCTTCAGTTCAACCATTAGAGACCAATCAGCCTTAATTAAATTATCATTGAAGTAATCCTTGAAAGCATCGAGACCTTGACCAACTTATCATCAGCTTCAAAATGACGGAAAAACATTTTTGGTAATTCACCGGGTATGGGTTCAATTTTAACCTGTTGTAAGGTCAACTGTTATTGCATGCTCTTAAAACGAGAGGTCGATATCTTTTAACAATACCTAGATGACGGTGGTATCGATTTATTTAGGTTTGCTCCGGCTCTTCTCAGTCGGCACTCTCAGCGGTGTGCATAACAGAGACAACAAGAAATTGAGTTACTAATGTAAAATAAAATTCAAAAAAAGAAAAGATATAAATTGTTGTTGCGTTATTTTCCAGACAGCGTTGTTTTCTGGTATCCAGATGTCATTGGATACCTTTATCGCCCACCCTATGGATTCCTGTATGAATCCCCTTTTTGGGCTCCCACCATGGTGAGATGCCCCCAATACCTATATCGACTTCACCTTAGTTTACATTATCCCCTTATATAGTTGATTAAAACATATTGTTATGTTTAATTATTTTCAGATTTTTTTTTAATTCATAAATTCTTTTCATATTTATTTTCTTTGATATAATAACATTAGATCGTATAATAATACATAATATTATATACTACATAATGATAAAAAAAAAATAATCTGAAATCTATTTACTTGGGTGTCAATCGACAATGTCAATAATGGAAGTACATAC